ACGGAGCCAACTCCGGAAGCTGTTCTAGGATGTTTGGAAGGGCCTCCTCTGAAGCACGGAATCAATCTGGCGATCGCCAACTTTCTTGCTTAAGGTGGAAAGAACGATCAACTGCACAGACATTTCTTGTCGGCAGCTAAAGCAACAAAAGACAGCGGTGAAACAGGGCAGTTTGTTGCGGAAAAGAAGTCTAAGGGAGACTTCAAAGGGGAGCTTCAAAAAAACTTTGAAGAGACTTCGAAGATGGACTTTAAATGTTGGGCGCAAGAGGCTCACCGAACCATCCTCCACCAAGATAATCCAACTGGAGTTAAACCTTGAGTTAAACTCTGAAGGTGGAGTTTAAACCCAGGGTTCAAACATAGAGTTTCCGAACCTAGAGTTTGAACATAAAGTTTCCGAACCCAGGGTTTGAACCAGAGTTTGAACTTAAGTTTCCGAATCCAGGGTTCGAACTCTGGCGGCCTGAAGAGTTAAAACCCAGGTTTCGAACATAGAGTTTCCGAACCCGGAGTTTGAACATGGAGTTTCCGAATCCAGAGTTCGAACTCTTGTATCATTGCTTCTTGTTCTCTCATTTTATTTTCTCGAATCCAACACTACTGGCGCGGTGGTTGTTCGTTGGTTAAGACCCACAGAAAAAAAGAACTTTCAATTCTGGTGCACTTCTCCAAGCCTTCTTCAAGCCTCTTTCAAAGTCTTCCTTGGAGTTCTCTTTAATCGTGCATCCAGACTTTCGGAGTTGAGTTCTACTGGAGTTCAACTTGTTGTTTGAATCCAGGGTTCGGAGGGAACTTTGATGTTCGAACTCTGGGTTCGAGGCTCTGAACTCTTAGTTCGAAGTTCTAGAACCCTGGGTTCGGAACTCTAAGTTCCAAACCTTGGGTTTGAACACCCCCCAAAAACCTATGTAGGCCAGAACAACCACTGGACAGACAAAGGCCTTCATTGCAGGGTGGAATTGGCCCAGGCTTTTAAATTCCATTTGTTTCCACTGAGCTGATGCCGCACCTCATGAGCGGATGCGCAGCGCAATTACCAATTGTTATACCTGTTGCATGCAAAAACCCCCATTAAGCGATTTCGTGTGGCTTCTTCTTCTTTTATTTGTGCTTGCGTTTGAGTTTGTGGTTTCTGTCATTGTAGTGTGCTCTCAGTTAATTTTCCTCGCAAAACCCCCTTACAAAGCGATTCTTTGTGGCTTCTTCTCCTTTTGTTTGGTGATTGTTGGTGTTCGAACCCCGTTCGAAGTCTGGGGGGAAGTCTAGAACCCGGGGGGCGGTTCATTTGTTTGCGGCTTTAGCATTCTCGTAGGAGCTCCTTCTGAAGCGCCTTTGAGAAGAAAGACTCCTTATTGACAATCTTTTTCTTTGTTTTGTCTTTGTTTGATTTCTTCGCAAAAACCCCCATAAAGCGGTTTCGTGTGGGTTCTGCTTCTTTTGTGGCAGGGACTGGTCATTGGCAGCCTTTTTCTTTGTTTTCGGCAAGCTTCTAAAAACAGCGGAGGGGTTTTGGGAGGGGCGCAGCCCCCCCAAACGTGGAGTTCCCCAATCCAGGGTTCGTACGCCCCGGAAGGGGGGCGGGGGAGACGACTTCCAGAACCCGAGGTTCCAACATAGAGTTCCCCAAACCAGAGTTCCCGAACCCAGAGTTCGAACTCCCTGGGGAACCGGGGGGGCGTTCCGAACCCAGGGTTCGGACTCTCTGGGAAGGGGGAGGAGTTCCCGAACCCGGGGTTCGAACATGGAGTTCTCCAAACCCCGGGTTCGAACATAGAGTTCCCGAACCCAGGGTTCGAACATAGAGTTCCCAAACCCAAACCCCGGGTTCGAACATAGAGTTCCCGAACCCAGGGTTTGAACATAGAGTTCAAATTCCAGGTTCAACCTGGGTTCGAGAAGTTCGAACCCAGGGTTCAACCCTGAGTTCCGGAGTTATATGTTCTCCCCCCCCCCGGCCCCCCGGGAGTTTGAACCCTGGGTTCCGGAACACTCCAAAAACCTATGCTCGTTCTGGCCCCCAGGGTCTTCTAGCGGAGGTTTAAGTTTGTGGCATAGTAGGCAAAAAGAAGAGCTGAAAGGAACTTTAGAAAGACTGGCTTAAAAGCTTCGACTCTTCTCTCTAAGGCAGAAATGCTTGTGGAGCGGCCCCAAATTACTCCAGGCGTGTGTAAGGAAACTTTCACTTCTGCTTCTGCATGCCCTGTGGCGGCTTTGGGCGGCTGCCACCACCTCTGGTTGCAGCTGGCTTCTTGGCCATAACCCTTGCCATTGTACCCATGGCGGTGTGGAACCGCACGGGCAAGGCATGAGTCTGTTATGATCATCGACATACGTCGCAGGGTCTTTCTTCAATTCCATCTGGACTTGTGGACTTTGTGTGCACGATTGTGCACACCAGAACCTTGGGGCCGTCCGTTGTTCGATGGAACTAGAACGGCGGCCGGAGTGGGCTTCAGACTTTACGATTGCAACGGAACAAAACACAGGGGCTGTCCGTTGTCTGGCAAGACTAGAACGGCTGCCGGAGCCTGGTCTTGGCTCCACCTGTTGTTTTGGGCAGGTCAGAGCGACGGCTCTTTGTTGCTCCTGACCGATCGCTGAGGCTCCGTAGTTTGTGCTGAACGGCTAACACCGGCAAAGCCTGTGCGCCCTTTGTAGAGCTTCGCTTTGCTGTTTTACCGCTTTGTTATGTTTTTGCTTTGTTTGTAGTTTCGCTTGTTTGTAGGGACCGAGTACTACAGCCGTAGTCGACGAGGCCCAGTCAAGCCAAAAAAAAAGAGAAATGCAAGAGGCAAATGCAAGATGCAATCGAAGGATCCCTAAAATGCAAAGGAGAGCCATCTGCAACAATCCGAAACCTGCGCTTAAGGAACTCAAACTCGTCCCTGGGTGGAACGGCCCGTTCTTGACCTGGGAGACCTCTGTCAAGGCCCTGCTTCTCAAGGTTCTGAAAGGTTGCAAGTGCCTGCCTGAGTGTTCTCGGCTTTCCTGGCACTTGTCGCAAAAAAAGGAGGTGGAAGTTCAGACACCAAAATTTGGTAGAAGCACTTCTGCACACTGTCAGGTTGGAGATTGGGCACTTTAATGTCAGTTTTTCGTAGTCCGTCTCAAAAGACAGCAAAAGAAGCAACACCGAACCAGTTGGAACATGCAAAATTTAAAAAAAAAACCAGTGCAAAAGGTGAAATGTAAGAAGTGAGACTGTCAAATGTGCTGCACGGCAGAAGCAAGCGAGCAAGTGAGCAAGTGAGATGTAAGTGTGCAAGTGCAAGCGACGGTGCAAAGTGCAAAAGTAAGGGTGGACAGTGCAGCAGATCAGGTTGGGCAAAAGGTGAAAGCAAAGTGCACGGTGTAATGCAATTTAAGAAAGATGCAAAATGCAACAGGTCAGAGTTCAAGAGGGCCAGAAGAAGCCAAGATAATGCAATTCGTCAATTTAAATTGGAGTTAGTTGTCCTGTTAAGAGGGCACTTTGATTAACAGGTTTCAAGCCATGCATTTCCACGGTTGTTGCTTTCTCGGAACTACAGCGTCGGATAGAACCACAAAGAGTCGAAGCAGCCCAATAACGAGAAGAGCAATTCCAAGCTCCTAACTGCCGTTTTTCGATTTCGCGCACAAAAGTCCAGGTTACAAACAAGATTTCTTTGCTTGCAATCTTTTCGGTATGTTTTTTTGCGCCTTATTTTCATTCAAACACTTTTTTGCTTGCATCGCTTCCCAAAGCATCTATAGCATTCTTCTTTTTTGAAACACCTTGCGCCGGGCTTAAGAGACTTTAAGGAGGCTTTGAAGGAAAGGCTTTAAGAGGTTTGAAGGGCTTCGAAGGGGGGCTTTAAGGGGCTTTGAAGGGACTTTAAAGGGGGCTTTTAAAGGGGCTTGAAGGGGGGGCTTTGAAGGGAGCTTGGAGCTTGAAGGGGGGGGATGAAGGGGGGTTTCGAAGCCTTCACAGTATGGGTTTTTCTTCGCAAAACGCCCTTAAAAAACGATTTCGTGTGGCTTCTCTTCTTCTTCTTTTGTGTTTGTGTTCATTTGTTTTGTTTCATTAAGTCTGCTTTTCTCGTTTATTTTCTTCGCAGAACCCCCCCATCAAACGATTTCGTGTGGCTTCTTCTTCTTGTTTTGTGTGTGTGTGTGATTGCTGGGAGGCTTGTCATTGTGTTTTGTTTTATTAAGTTTGCTTTTTCTCATTTTATTTTCTTCGCAAAAACCCACCATAAAACGATTTCCGCAAATACCTAACAATGCAATAATGCAGCAACAAATTATGGTAAAAATAATGATAATACAGATTAAACAAATTATGGTAAAAAATAATGATAATACAAATTAAATATGGTGTATGACAGTATGCGGATGAGTCTCTTGCATTGTAGTTTGGTGAAGTGCAATCTAGTGCAGTGTTATCAAAGATAACACAGCATTTCATAGTATAGTGTGGCATAGTAACAGTATCGTACAGTATAATGCAATGTATTATAGTACAGTATAAGTACCGTACAATCTATAATGTAATATAGTGTGGCAAAACATACGCTTAACAGTTTAATTTTGTATTGGGTATGGTATGGTATGGTATGGTATGATGTGGTGGGTTATGTTGGGGTATGGTATGTTATGTGATGTCATGCCATGGCTGTGATGTTGTGTTTGGGAATGTTTTGCTTCATTTTCATACTTCACTTTGCCGTACTATACCATATTGTACGGTGTTCTACTTTTCCAAACATTGAACAGAATTCGGGGGAAAGCGAAATCATGCGCATGATAAAATTTGGTGTGCAGACAGTGTTCCCTCAAAGTTTGTAGTTTGGAAGCCATTCCACCAATCACATTCTGCCCAAACTGTCATTTTGTACTAGTATGCATCTACAATCAGTCCAACTCGTTTATCTTGTTGTTTGATGCTCCATGAGCTTTGCATTTCCAGGGCATTCTTCGGCTCAAAGCTCCTACCGCAATTGCCTTCGTTCCCCATCAGCTCGAAACTGGATCAGCATGTCTGAGGCCGCAGGAGTGCTCCGAATTCAGTCCGGCTACATCCGAAGCTCTTCCATCAAGGACAGGGCTTCTCAGGATCTGGTTTCGGCAGATTGGTGTGATGGGTGCTTTGCCTGGTAGGCTTTTTGGCCCACAGGCATGTCGTGTATGTTTGTTGCACCAAAGCACGCTTTGGGCTTGGATGTTGCTGTGATGAAGGTGATGTTTTGTTCAATCATTTTCATGCATTTTGCTTTCTCGCTGTAGCCAACTTCTTGCGAAGTGCAAAGCCTTCTGTCACAAAACGCAATGGGTCAAACGCGAAAAGTCTGGTCTATCAGTTTTTTGAACTTGTGCAGGATTTGGGTCCTCTGGAGTTTACTGGCAAGGTGGCGGGCGGTGACTTTGCTGGAAGAAGGTCAAAAGGGCTTTGTCAGCAGACGGTGTGCAGCTTTCGAAACTATTGGGCACAGGAGTACTTCTGGCTCGGAGGATTCGTCTGTATTCAGTACTGGACTTGTTGATTAGGTGGAAGATTGCGACGGCACCAGTTTGTGTTTGCAGCCTCGCCCTGATGTTTACCAACATGTATTCCTAGCTTAGGGTGGGTGTAGTGTTTAGGTCATGTAATCAAACATTAGTCGGGTTTCAGGCAATTCGGTTTGGTGAATGCACCAGCTCTGAGCGAAGGTCTTCGTTTGGATCTGCGCCGTCGTGCACCCTTTTATGGCAGCGATTGGGTTGATGCGTTCAGAGCCGAGAGACTTTGACGCCACAGGGTCGAGGTTTAAGTTTGGGAGACAAAGTTTGGAGTGATTTCATATTTTGGACGAAACTCTCTTGGGAGGCTTGGAGCGACTCTAGTAGCAGGATCGAAAAGATTTTCCGTAAAAGCTTCAACAAAGCTCAAGATAGCTAAAGGCATCCTTCAGCGCCTTAGACCCTGATGTTCAAGCTGATTCGACGCACGGGTCGTCTTTTGAAAATTATGCCACATCGGCCTCGCAGTGAGAAGCTTGAAAAGCTTTCAGCCTGTCCAAGGAACCTCCAGAAGTCGGTTTCGTCCATCCTGTACCTGTTCATTGCAGCGCTTGCTCCTGCAATCACGTCGCTAGCCTTAGCTTTCGCAGTGGCTATTGAAGTGAGAGGAGAGGATGGAAGCTTTGGGCAAGTGAAGGCGTCACTGGCACCTTACGTGGATGACCTAGCTGGACCTAGCTGAGAGTAGGACGCAAGGCATCGGGCATTGCGGGTTGCTGTGACGCCCCGATCCTGGAGCCCGACAGACCTTTCATGAATCCCAGGTTCGGAAGTCGCTTCCTCGATGGCACCAACGGCCAATTCGGAGTGCCCTGGAACTGTTGATGATGACCTCGGACCTCTACGTGAGATGAACTGACCAGAAAGAACCCACACACCTATAATTTCTTTTCATCAAACAGTGGTAAGCTTGACGGCTGTACGGCCACAAGCCGCGCAGCCGGAGCAGGAAAAGGAGGAAGCAGGAGGGGGAGCAGGAGCAGGAGCAGGAGCGCCGCAGCCGCTCCAGAAGTAGCTGCAGCAGCAACCAGCAGCAGCAGCAGCAGCATCCGCACAGCAGCATCTGGATTTGCAATGTCGGAATCAAAATTAGCACATGTTGGTGCTCTGGCCACTTGTGCTCCCATGTGTCGCCGTAATTGTCGGGTCAACGGTCTCAGGTGCTGGAGATGATCATGTCCACTTGCGTGAGCGGCCTGCTCTTTTCCACGTCTCTCGCTCGGAGAAGCTTTGAGTTTGAGCTTCGAGTTGGTTTGGGGTTTGGTCCGTTCATCCCTTCGCATGCCGACCTGCTGTCCTGCAAGCCGTAAATGTTTCGGGTTTTGGGAGCCAAAAAGGGTTTCAGGCATTGAAAGAGACGCAGGACTTTGGTCCAGCGACGGATTGCCCGATTTCTGCTTGCTTGGGGCTCAAAACTACAAACCTCAGAGACCGGAAAGCCTGAAGAAAAAGTCATAGGAGGGTGGGTTGAAGTGGCACCTTCTGTTGCAACACTCTCGTCCCGGCGGCATTGCCCGCATCCAAGCCGCTACCACGCATCAACCGGCTGAGTATGCGCTCTGGCGTCTAGCATTTTGGAGTTGGCCCTGGTCTCACTGGTGCGAATCCAAGCAGCTGCTACAGGTTTAGGGTTGAGTGTCCATGTTGAACCTAAACCCTTGTGAACTTGTGTCAAGTCGGCCCGCTACAGCCTGTACGTGGGCATCTACAAGTCTGCACGAGCATCCCAAGGAACCGATACCCTTGAATTCCGTTATCCTCCAACCTTGCGTGCCTGACCCCGCACCCGAACCCGACAGTCCAAAGCCAAGGTTTTCTGGACAGCCACTCTCCATCCTGGGTGCAACTGGTCCGTTCTGGGCTCAGGCAACCAGTGGTTGCATGTGGTGGAAGTGCTGCTGTAAGTCAGGTACAAGGCAGTAATGGTTCAGGGCCGTTGATTCCGCATCTGTCCCTAAGCGAAATCTCCACCCCTTCCGCTGCAATGTTTGAGACACCGTGCCCTTTGCCGAGGTTCCTGGCCTACTCCTTGGTGGTCTACGACTTGGCAGGGGCAGTGCCTCGGACCGACCCCAAATAGGGTAACCCCTTCTTTTCGGAGCCCTTAAAGGAACCTTTAAAAAAGAGACGGCATCGAAAGGATTCTCTTCGACTGCAAAACACACTTCCCTCGAGTCGAGACTCCCTGGCTCCTCGATCACTGGCAGTGTATGCACATGCAGCTAAGACAGGGAGCATACATGGTGGTGGGAGGCTGTGGACAGTTTCGGAAGGTTGACCGAAGCTTGAGCGTCCCCTCGGGTTGACACTTGCTGCCCGAGTTTGCTAAGCCGGGCGGAGGGGAAAGACCGGTCGTTTCGTTTGCAGTCCTGCGGCCGTCGGGCGCACAGAGATCAAGCAGAAGGAACAGTTTCTTGGGTCGTCTACTTGCATCAACGGCGGTATGCTAGACAGACGCCTCGTCTATCGAAAACGTGACTGTCCAAAGCGTGGTATCCTCGGTCTCACTGCCAACATCTCGCCGCTGCATGTCGCCCCCAGATCTCGTCGCGCCCATTTTGTTTGTAAAGCTTTCGGCCACAAACTCATGAACGGTGCTCAGATGGACTTGGAGTTCATGCCCTACTACTTCTGGGATCCTTGACTGCACAGCTGAGATGACAGAGCAGCTACATGCCTAAGCAGTGTGCAGAGGCCGTGCGCGGGGTGTGAATACGAGGTGTGCATGTGGTCCTCGGTGTTCACCATCCTGGTGGCGGTCTTCGACCTCTGCGCGCTGATGAAGCATGTGACCATGTTCAGCGAAGACGGGGTTGGTGACAAAAGATTGACACTTCTGTTGGGATCGCTTCATGTTAAAGAGTCTAAGACCGGGCAGGTTTGGGTGCAAAGTGCTGCCGAGAACTTTGTCCCTGTGAGTCCCATCTAACGGCTTATGTAGTGGTTTCGGTCGCAGCGCACCTGGTGGCAACCTGCAGTTCGTGAACTCTAAAGTGGAACCCAGCACTTGGTATCCTCATTTGGTCTGATTGTGCTCTTTGCTGAAGCACCCTGGCGTTTCTCAGTTGAGAGTTTGCAGATGCTTCATGTTCGCTTCGGCGGGCGGCTTTTCTTTGCTTTGCTTGGCCCACGCCCTGGCGTTTCGCAAGGGGCGTTCCGACAGTTAAAATTTGCAGGACATCTAAGTGTCGCACCCTGGAGTTTTCCAAGTAAAAGTTTGCAGGACATCTTTGCGGGTCTGATCAGTCTGATCTTCATCATCGACGGCATCCTGCCGATCCTGCGCAACTTCATCGAGGAGACGATCCCCTTGCGCAGCGCGATGTTCGAGACACTGCTCTTCGTCATCACCTTCGGTGGCTTGGCTGACCAGATGCCCCGTTATATAGCCCCTAAGCTCACAGCCAAGTCCGGTGCGAGCTTGTGTATTCTGCTTTCAAAGCTGCAGCGCGACCAAGGAGGCGCGTCTTACCTCTCGTACTTCCGCCGCACCCCATGGACCATCCGCCCCATCCGCTGCTCGGCCGTTTGAGAATCTTTTCCTTATTTCGATCTCACGTCGTAGCAGTAGCAAGTCCCCTCGGAGCTGAGGCAACCTCGTGGCCAACTTCGCCGTGACCATCACTTTGGTGATCGCCTCCGCCATCGGAGCCATCTACACCACGGAGACGAACCTTCGCATGCTCAGCGTTGAGGCGGAGTTGGCACCGGCCCTGATGTTGGCGACCGGCGAGAAGAGGTCTTGGATCGTGAACCCCATGGGAATCGAGAAGGACTTCCCGGCGTGGGGCATCGCGTGCCCGGGCTTTTGATCGCTTAGGGCTTAGGGCCTAGGGCCTAACGCTTACTCTTGGCAAGTGTTACAAGCACTTTTTGCTACCAAGGTATGCTATTCTTCCGGCGATCGGCTTCGCTGTCCTGGGATACCTCGACCAGACTCTCGCACGCACTGTTACATTGCAGCCACCGGATAGTAAGGTTCCCATTCGTTTTGGCTTTCGCTGGACCCATTCCGCATCTCCTCATTTTTTGAAATGAAGCTTTCGGTTCTCCGCCATGTAGAAAGGAACCTCACCAGCGTCATCGTCAACCGCCCCTCCAACGGCCTGTGGCTTGGCTTGCATTGAGTTCTCGGTTCAGGCGCTGATGGCTCGAGCGTTTGAACCTCTGTTTGGTTCCCGGATATGTGCTGCGCCGCAGCACCGTGCATGCCAACTCTGCCTACGTTTTCGCGTCAGCACCAACTGATCAAATCCCGACAAGCCCCGTCGGAAATCTGAAAAGTGAAGCCAGAGAAAGAAGCAGCTCGTCGAAAGCCTCAGGTCCAAGCCACCTGGTTACCACCTGGACCGACCCGAGCATCAATGCCGTCTTTCTTTTCTATGTTAATCCTTCAAGATTTGGTTGTCTTCGAGTTGACCAGGCGTTTATGGTTTGAGGTGACGGGTTTCGGGTGTGGTGGCTTCTTGGGTGTACTGCTCGGTTTTGGCTTTAATCGTGTCGTTGCCCTTGAGTTAAATTTTCGAGGTTCCGGGGTTAAGGGCTTAAGATTCGGTTTCGGGGGTTAGGGCTCAAGATTTAGTTTAGGGCTTGAGTTTAGGATTTGGGTTTCGGGTCTAGGGCTTTGGGTATCGTCTTTGGATTTGGGGTCTAGGGCTTTGGGTATCGTCTTTGGATTTGGGGTCTGGGGTTTAGGGTTTCGGGTTTTGGGATTTGGGGTGCAGCGATTGGGCTTGCGGTTCAGCAACCGACAACCACTCGACGGAAACACAGGAAGATCCAGCTGACACCAAAAAGAAAGACACAGTTGCCGAATAACGTTTAGAAGCTCAGCAAATGTTATAAGCCGAACAAAGAGCCCAGTTAATGAACAAAAAGCCACAGTTCCCAGTAATGCCAAAGACACAGTTATCCCCCTTTGCCGTAGGACCTGTTCGTTCGGGGTGCCCTGACGACGCCGGTCTGCGCTGTGCCACTTAACTGCCTGCAGTGCAAAGCCACCCAAGCGGGCTATGACCAGCCTAGCAGTGGAGCGGTTGTTGAAGTGATTCTAGGGCGCTTCAAGTTTCAGGGTTCTCTCCCTCAGCTCCAAAAGCAGAGGCTTGGCTTGCCGTTGTCCGTGGCTTCCACGGTGCCCAGCATCACCCACGTGATCTCGCTGACGACCTACGAAGCCGCGTCGGCGAAGACAAGAACTATGAGTTGTCCGATATCATCCAGCTCTCTCCGCCGTGTACAGACTCATCCCTCTCTCTCTCTCTCTCTGTCTCTCTGTCTCTCTGTCTCTCTGTCTCTCTCTCTCTCTCCCTGCTTCTCGCTGGCCGTCCTGCTCTCTATACATGTGCACAGGAACACATCAATACATCATAAGGGAACAAGCAGACAGCTAGGTTTGGACTGTAGGCACAGAGTACAGAGACAGATTTTCCACAAGAACTAGGTAAATGGATACGTATATGCGAGTGGGTGGATAGGCATTCACGTTAATCACCACATCCATGTGGCAACAGAAGCAAACTGACACCTCCACGCCGAGCGTTGTCTGCTTAGCGGATTTGTGAGCGCCGGTGTCTCCCAGGTTATCAACATTTTGCTGCTGTCACTGCTGTTGTGGAATGTGATGTTGTCGTAACTCTCTGTGTCAACTCTTTGTCGCTGTTTCTGCCTATAGTCGTGACTGCCCAAAGTACATGATAAGACACCAACTTGATATGTCAATTCTCGTGGTTGTGAATGTTTTGGCTTGGGTATAGATCTCGAGACTATCACTCCTTCCTCCTCTCACCGATCTGGTTCGCTACCTTGCTCTGCCATCTGTTTTCCGTGGCTGCGATTCGAGTGGTACTCTTCAGCATCATCAGTAGTGGTGGCGGTGGCTGGTGGAGTTGTGATCGTAGTCGTAGGCCTTGTCGTAGTAGTAGCACGAATAAAGCATAGGTAGTTGTGTAGCAATCGTAGTATTCGCAGTATGCATTCGTAATCGTAGTGCTTGTAGTGGCAGTAGCAGTAGCAATAGCATCAGTAGCAGTAGTAGCAGTAGTAGCAGTAGTAGCAGTAGTAGCAGTAGCAGCAGTAGTAGCAGTAGCAGTAGTAGCAGTAGCAACAGTAGTAGCAGTAGTAGCAGTAGTAGCAGTAGCAGTGTTAGCAGTAGCAGTAGCAGTAGTAGCAGTAGCAGCAGTAGCAGCAGTAGTAGCAGTAGTAGCAGTAGTAGCAGTAGCAGTGTTAGCAGTAGCAGTAGGAGTAGGAGTAGGAGTAGGGAGTAGGAGTAGGAGTAGGAGCAGGAGCAGGAGCAGGAGCAGGAGGAGGAGGAGGAGGAGTAGGAGTAGGAGTAGGTGTAGGAGTAGGAGTAGGAGGAGGAGTAGGAGCAGGAGCAGGAGCAGGAGTAGGAGTAGGAGTAGGAGTAGGAGTAGGAGTAGGAGTAGGAGTAGGAGTAGGAGTAGGAGTAGGAGCAGGAGGAGGAGTAGGAGCAGGAGTAGGAGTAGGAGTAGGAGTAGGAGTAGGAGTAGGAGTAGGAGTAGGAGTAGCAGTAGGAGTAGGAGTAGGAGTAGGAGTAGGAGCAGGAGTAGGAGTAGGAGTAGGAGTAGGAGTAGGCGCCCATACCAACCACCCCTCCTACATACTCTTCTCGAACTCATCCGTTTTACTCGGTATTTGCAGCACTTTCGTCATGTAGGAACATCTTCTCAAGCCCCAAAATCGTAGGAGGGGAGGGGGGTGGCTGGTAGCAGTAGTCGCAGTAGTAGTAGTAGCAGTAGTAGCAGTAGTAGCAGTAGCAGTGTTAGCAGTAGCAGTAGCAGTAGTAGCAGTAGCAGCAGTAGTAGCAGTAGTAGCAGTAGTAGCAGTAGCAGTGTTAGCAGTAGCAGTAGGAGTAGGAGTAGGAGTAGGGAGTAGGAGTAGGAGTAGGAGCAGGAGCAGGAGCAGGAGCAGGAGGAGGAGGAGGAGGAGTAGGAGTAGGAGTAGGTGTAGGAGTAGGAGTAGGAGTAGGAGTAGGAGCAGGAGCAGGAGCAGGAGTAGGAGTAGGAGTAGGAGTAGGAGTAGGAGTAGGAGTAGGAGTAGGAGCAGGAGGAGGAGTAGGAGCAGGAGTAGGAGTAGGAGTAGGAGTAGGAGTAGGAGTAGGAGTAGGAGTAGGAGTAGCAGTAGGAGTAGGAGTAGGAGTAGGAGTAGGAGCAGGAGTAGGAGTAGGAGTAGGAGTAGGAGTAGGCGCCCATACCAACCACCCCTCCTACATACTCTTCTCGAACTCATCCGTTTTACTCGGTATTTGCAGCACTTTCGTCATGTAGGAACATCTTCTCAAGCCCCAAAATCGTAGGAGGGGAGGGGGGTGGCTGGTAGCAGTAGTCGCAGTAGTAGTAGTAGTAGTAGTAGTAGTAGTAGTAGTAGTAGTAGTCGTAGTCGTAGTCGTAGTCGTAGTCGTAGTCGTAGTCGTAGTCTTAGTCGTAGTCGTAGTCGTAGTCGTAGTCGTAGTCGTAGTCGTAGTTGTAGTAGTAGTTGTTGTTGTGGTGGTGGGTGGTGGCAGTAGTAGTAGAGTAGCAAGAGCAGCGAGAGAAATAGTTAGCAACGGCAGTTGTAGTCGTTCTCGAAGTCCTCGTAGTGTAGCAGAATCTTAGAGAAGCTTGAGTAGCAGTAGTATCAGCACTAGCAGCAGGAGTAGGAGGCATGTCACGGGCCCGAACTTCCCCAAGCCGAGGTGCAGCAGCTCCCTCAGGGCGAGCGTAAAGTACCAGCCAAGGCCTGCTCAGGGCTCAGGGTTCGAGGCTTGCAGCTTTCCGGGCGGCTTAGCGCTGTGGTTGATCTTCTGTAGACTGCATTAGTATAGCAACAGCCAACCTTTGAATTCCGGCATCCTGCTTGATTTGCCCTGGTTATGGCGTCCCGTGATGGTTCTGTGAGTCCTGGTAGCTTTTACACCAGACGAGCGTATGCAGTGTTCGGCGAATCTGTCAGCACTTCTTTGCAGCGGGTCGAAGTTTCTGTTCCAGCAACCGTCCGTCTTGCTCGGTTTGCCAAAGATGAATGCCTCTTCTCAAAGGCCCAGAAAGCATGGGGATCGCCTGGCCACAGCCTCAACTCTAAGGCGAAGCTTCAAACTGATGGAGACCTAGCCCCTTTGATTTGATGCTGTGGACAGGTTGTCGAGCAACGTGCCACGAACTTCCTGTGCCTGGGCTGATGGTTGGGGATCGAGTGGCACCTGACATTTCATGGACGGTTAGGAGCAGGTGAGCTCTTGTAGGGAGGATGTTTGCTTGAACTGGGCAGATCGTGGCAGTCAGCAGGGTGGATGCTGGATGACTTTCATATCCGGCTGCAGGCTTCAGGCAATGTCAGGTTCGTGAGGCGGGTTGGGAGGCTGGTGCATTCAAGTCTTGACAGGTTGGAACTGCTTAAAGCTGCTTAAAGTATCGACGTCCATCGGTTGATCCAGCTGACGTGGCTGCCCAGTTCGACTGCACCCCGAACCCCCTGTAGAGACTGGAAGGATCCACGTGTGCATCGGCTGTGCCTTGTTCATGGCACCCATTCTGCAACTTGACTGATCTTCATTGTTAGAGTTTAGGGAGATTGCATGAATTCTGCGGGTTTCTTCCATGCCCCAGTCCTCTTGGACTTGCATGGTGCGATGCATCTTCGTGATTTTGCAGTGCTCTGATCTGAAGTAAGACTCTCAAAGAGGTGAGTCTCAATCTCGAAGGTCGCAAGGGTCTTCCTTCTTTCTTCAACCATGATGCTAGAAGACCGGAGAAAGCCACAAATCCGTGAACCGAAAAAACGCTCCTGTGTGGATTCCGTCTGCCGAGGAAGTTCATTCCCCAAGCCGTCCTCCAGGGCGTTTTCTTCTACATGGGCATCGCGTCCTTGACGGGAAACAACCTCTTCGACCGCATGCTCCTCTGCATGGAAGAGTGGGGGCACGGGATGCATGGGCTTGGACATGAGAGGGTTTGAAGTTGCTTGTCTCCTTTGTCGGCCAAACATCTTGACTGTGAGTCGGGATCGAGAGCATGTCGTTCCATAAGAGGCCATCGCGATGGCTGTCACACCGTGCGCACGCCTGTCGTATTTTTGAGTTGAACAGCTTTGCCCCCAATTCTGAAGGCCAAAGCCGTGCAAAGCGCTCCCACCAGTTGTCCTATGGATCTTTGCCCGCAGCACCTGAGGAAGCTCTGGCTGATCTGGGACTCCGCTAAGTACCCGTCGTACCACTACATCCAGAAGCTGCCCGTGCACAGGGTCCATCTCTACACCTTCGTCCAGGCTGTGTTTCGGGATTCTGGACTCCAAGGGGGCTGCATTGAGCACCGCCACCTTTCGGTGCGTTCTGAGGGGTTTCATATGATGCGAAGGCTCCGCTCGTAGGTCTGTCCTACGGCAAATAAATACTTCGTCTTGCGAAGCCTGCAGCAGCGAAATCATCACATGGCCGTTGGGCTGGGCAGTGCAGCGTTGACTGTATGAATCTCCCGTCTCCGAACCCTCACTCGAAGCCCCAACCGACGCGTCTGCAGTTCATCTGCCTGGCCATCCTATACGGCCTTAAGGAGATCAAGGACCCACCCGTTGCGAGGGTTCCAGGTGACGTTTTTGAGATCTGGAACCACTTCGACTTCGATGCCAGGAGACTGCCGTGGTCTTCCCCTTCTTCATGGCATCCCTGGCCATCATCCGCAAGGTGCGGCCTTGGCTCCAGCTGCAAAGCCCAAAGTCCCAAAGTTTGAAGCAGCATCGAAGCCCTCGAGCATCTGCGTGCGAAACTCACGCAGGGCCCTGAAGTGCGAATGGCGACGTTGCAATATGCGAGAGTGATGGATGACTCGTGAAGCCGTGAAAACCCCCCTAGCAATTGAGTAGGAGTTGGTTCTGGTTTTCGGGCGGGAGATGCTCTGCGCAAAGGTTTAATTAGCTGATAAGCCAGTTCTCTGTGGACCAAGCAAGGAACCGAAGGTTCCAAAGACTTGATTCTGAAGCAACGAGCTTAACGCTCATAGAAAAAACCGCGAAATTTCGCCATCTCTCCTGGCAAGGCTATGCGCTGGATGTTCACTGAGGAGGAGCTGCAGCAGCTTGACGGGCATCCTGCCGAGGACCCTGACGAGGCAACGTCTCTTCCATGCGAGGGCCCAGGGTTTGGCCGAGTTTTTTTTGAGCCCTAAACCCTAAACCCTGAACCCCAAACCCCTATCCTAAACCCTAAACCCTAAACTCCTATCCTAAACCCTGAACCCTAAACTCCTATCCTAAACCCTAAACCCCAAACTCTAAACCGGGCTTCGACCCAGTGGCAGGTGGAGGAGCCGGAGCCAGCGAAGCCCGACCTCCTGAACCTGGAGCCGACGAAGGCGGTCCCGGCCGACCCCTACCCTATAATGGGCTGTATAATGGGTATATAATGGCTATATTATGGGTATATACCTAGGACCCTAAATAATAGGATCCTTATCATGAGGACACCTAATTTAAGGTACCCCTCTCCCAGATGCATCCGAAGCAACTGGAGTTGGGGAGACCGGTAAATCCCTCTTCTCGTCTCTCGCCATCACACCATCACACCTGCATCTTCAATTTGATCTTCATCTTCGAGTCAGTTCTGCCCTCCTCGTGGCAGGTGGCGTGTTTGTCCGTTTGTCCGTTTGTTCCTCTGTTGTCCTGTACGTCCCTCGGTCCCTCTGTTTGTCTGTCTGTCTTTTTGTCTGTCTGTCTCTCTGCCTGTTTGTCTGTATGTTGGTTCGTTTGTTTGTGTGTGTGCGTGTGTGGTGACAGCCTCGCAACAGCGCAAGACAAATCAGCTGTATCTGTATCTAATGCATCGAAGACTTTCACAGCCATGAGCCGCTGAGATGTTAAGCTCCCTGAGCCACGAATCCAGTCTTTTGGAGCCCCTCACGCACAAGCGCCGTCCTCACCCTCTTCTTCTTGCTCTTCTTTGTCATCCTCGTCATCACCACCATCATCACCAGCAGCATCACCATCAGCACCATCATCACCATCATCACCATCATCACCATCATCATTGCCGTCATCATTGTCGTCATCATCATCATCGCCGTTATCATCGTCATCACCATCAGCATCAACATCATCATCTTCGTCATCATACAGTACCCAGCACAAGAGTCAGCTTGAAGAGGAAGGACAACTAGAATCAACATATGATAGCTGCGGTACTGGTCGTTGGCATTGTGATGTTTATGATGGTTGTTAGTGTGATGAAGAAGAACAGAAATACGTACTGGTACTAATATCCATAACAAGTTTGATCGTAACAGTAGTTATTAAGAATACCAATATATCATCATTGTTTTTGCAGTCGCTTACTACCATATCATCATTTTGTATCTGTTTACGATCAGTTAGTGTTAGTGCTATTGTTACTACTACTGATACTACTGTTACAACAACCATATTAATTAGTAACAATTTAAGAAAACAACAATAACACAATATTACTGCTTTTGTTCTCATGATTGCTGTTTTCAGTGCTATTATCGTTATTCTAATTATTATTCGTATCAGTAGTATAACTTTTATATTCATCTTTTAAGTCTTATCGTTGTTCTTATTCGTCTTGTACAGGGTTGTTTCTATTATCATTGTTGCACTTCCTTGTTTATTTATTTACCCAGTCATTCGCCTATTTGTTAAGTTACTTTGTTGTTTGTTTGTTTGTTATTTATTTAGTTGTTTATTTGTTTTCTATTTACTGATTTATTTCATCATCGTCATCACTATCATTATTATCATCATCAGCTTCGTCTTCATCTTCTTGTTCACTGTTGTATTAATCTTCACCTTCATCACTTTCGTCTTCTGTTTATTCTCCTCCTTCTCAATCCTCGTCCTCGTCATCGTCGTGATCATCGATGTCAGTCTCGTCATCGTAGCACTAAGGTAAAAGCCAGAAAGTTGGAATATGATTATCCTAACCCTTCTATGGTAAAATATAGGGTATCCTACCATGAAACCATATTCCAACTTTCTGGAGTTCCCTATAAGCCTTGTCAAGTTTAAGCAGGAGGCGCCTGAAGAAGTCAAGGAGGAGGCTCCCAAGCTCTGCATTGCCGAGATCTGCTTTGAGTCCGTGCGGTTCTGGATGAAAGTTAGCAGGTATTGTAGGCATGGGTCGATTTCGCAAAGGCAGATTTTTGGGAGGATTAATGCCACTTGAGAGATCTACCCGGTCCGTCTTGGTTTTTGGGGCGTTTGGGCTTCGTGGTTGCGTTTCAATTCCGTTGCTTCGAAACGCCCCGAGATCGCAGGTCGTTTGTAGCCGCTAAAGCTCTGCAATCCTTGGCTTGATGATTCCTTGGTCTAGGCAATTCACCCTAGGCGATAATGTGCTTGTGGCTATCGCTTCGATGCATGCGGTTTGTGGAGCTCCGATGATCTGTGTATATCTGCGTCAGTCTAGGGCAGGTGATAAGTGCGCTGCTGCTACATGCTGAATTGCAGGCTTTGAGTTGTCAACAGCATCGGCTTCTTTCCGAGCCCTGCATACCACCGCAAGAGTAACAGAGAGAGGTCAGCATGCCGGAGAAGGTGGAGGAGCCCAAGTCTGAGGAGAAAGCACCGGGGACAACGAGCTTGTCCTTGTAAGCCGATCCCTGCCCGACATTACAAGTTCTTTGTGAGAAGATCGGCATGCCTCCAATCACAAAAAAATTCGGTGAGTGTCTGGGAAGTATCAGGGTGCAATACCTTCAGTTGTCCGGGGAGGTTTGCCGACAGAGTTTGAACATTTTTCTGGAGACTGCAAGGCTTGGGGGTCAATGATCCCTTGCAGCCGCCAAAAGCGGTCCCGAGGACAGCTACGCCCCTTCAATCGTCGGTGGTATAGTACAGGCACTGCTTTGAGTGTTCTTTTCGTTTAGAATATGTTAAAGAAGCACCTCTAGACGAGTCTTCAGTTGACTTGCACTGTCCTGGGGCGCTTTACTGCTTTTCAATGCAGCACATCTTGCGAATTCTTTGTTTTTTTTTGTCTTCGTCTTGGGTGGAAGCGGCACTTGGCAACAACCCAAGCAACTCTTTGCATTTTCCATCCGCGCATCTTGGTAGGGTGTCAAGTCAATGAGACCTTCGCGGTTGCCTTTGGGATTCAAGTCGTAGAACCAGCGCGCCAGCTTGGCACAGCGGATCGGCAAACGTTTACTGACAATTGGAAATCCAATGTTTGATTCTTAGCCTTGTGGCCATACAGATGCATTGCCTACCCCAAGCCCTGAACAATTTATAGAGGTCTACCTTTCCGGCATCAGTGTTTTCCGCAAGGGCGCACTGTATGGCTCAGGCACTTGTGAGGCCGGTAGCGGGTTGCAGCTTGGACTCTGCTTCTTCCAGAGCTCTCTGCGTCGCCGAAGGCGATGCACTGGGGAGGACCTGTGTGGCATACTCTTTGCGGATCTGATTCGAAAGCTGATAGAGCGAAGGGTCGATGGCCAGCCATAAAGCGATGCAGCTTGGTATGATCGCGACAGCTGAGCAGATTGCATTTCACTCTCGGCTGAAGAGTATCTGCCTTTTTCGCAGGTCCTCTGCGCCCGGTCCTCACGCGGTGCAGCTCACCACATGTAATGGGTAGCTGTTACCGATACCCACTGAGTTCTGTTTGCTTGGCAAAAAGAGCAGTGTCTTCCCAGGAGAAGCCTTCAGGTCCCAAACCGCAGAACATGAAGCCGGGGTATAGCAAGTATGGTAGCTCGGTAGGATGGCCTGGTTGCTTGTAGCACCAGCTCGAGTCAGCCTGATGTCGAATCCTGCATATCACAACTAGCCTCCACCGCACGCGAAGTACCGGCAGTCATTGGTGGGTTGTTGACAAAATTGAAACATCATTGCCAAGATTGACAAGCAAGGGAGGATAAACATGGAACTGTGTGTTCAACACTTGCCAACTACCAGCAGTTGACAGCAGTCGCGATCGGTTCTGCACTATGACTGTCAGGACGCGCTGTGCTTGTCAAGGGTTGTTCTTGGCTCAAGGCTTCTGCCGGCACTGTCGCTTCGCCTAGTTGATCGCGTATTGTAGAAGTAGTCCGCCATGTCTGAGGCAGCAGGAGTGCTCCGAATCCAGTCCGGCTACATCCGCAGCTCCTCCATCAAGGACAGGGCCTCCTACGGCAGATCTCTTCAGGATTTGGTTCGAGGCATGCCTTGCCTCTTAGGCTTTGGGACCTACAGATTTCCTTCCACAGCGTGATGGACCCTGAGCCGGTTTGTTTCGAAAACGTACGCCCTTATCCCACTTGAAAATAGAGTTCGGGAAATTCGGCTACCAGTCCAGTGTACCTTGCGCTCAGACAGCGAAGCTGCTGAATTTCTGTCTGATTGGCTCGGTGCTCCTTGTCCTTGAAGGTTTGTCTTGTGGTTAACGACCACAAGCAGGCTTTCGCTTCTATGGCTTGTGGCTTGTAGCGACCATAGATGAAGCAGGGCACCAGTGGTGTGCTTCCTGCGAAGTGACCCCAAATCTACGAGACACCCAAGGCAATCCCGGTGGCCTAGTGGGAGCCAGGGCATTCAAGCGCGAGCAGCACCTTCGTGCAAATCCCTGCGCTGCGCGTCCATTGGTGATTGAATGGATCGCGATTGTTTGAAACGGCCCGTGGTTCAGTTGGTCTTGCTTCACCAATGCCTCGCACAGGACTTGGGTCCGCTGGAATTCACTGGCAAAGTCGCGGGCGGTGACTTTGCTGAGTTGAGAGGGGGTCATCGTGGTAGGCACCCGTAGCGACTCGGCGGCTGCGTGGAATTAAATCGGCATCATTGCGGCATCATCGTTTAACTTGCGAGCCCTTCGGGTTCCCCGAAAGTTGAATCAAAGGTTTTTAAACACACCCTCGCCAAACCGTTGAGGTGCAGGACTCCGCTTAGGCTTAAGCCAAAAGGATTGGCCAATGAGTCTTCAGTCCTCGTTGGAAAGAGTCGTGTTTAGGGCGAGCAGCCTCGGCCCTGGGCGTCGTGCAGAGCGCATGACACAGACTCCCAAGCTGCCAAGTCGACTCCCGTGTGCTCTCATGACCGCTCAGCTTCCTTAAGCTTTAGGCCTTAGGGTTTTGGATTTAGGGTTCAGGGTTGAGGATTTAGGCTTTGGGGTTTAGGGATTTGGTTCCCATTCGAGATCTGGGTTTCGGTTCAAGGGGATCGACTCTTCAGGGTTTACCGACCTGTTTCCACAGCTTCGTCGCGCGAAGCCAAGGTCTTCGTCTGGACTTGCGCCGGCGTGCGCCCCTCTATGGAAGTGATTGGACTGATGCGTTCAAAGCCGAGAGACTTGAATGCACCAGGATGGCGATTCCACTGTTTCGGCTTCGGTTGAAAGGTTAAACCCCTACACTCCAAAGCCCTACGAAACCCCAAACTTCAGGCAAGCTTTGGTCTCCCGCACAAACGCCAAGATCCGGAGAAACCCTAGCTACTTTCACAGACTCGCAGATCGCCTGCAACCGTTCAGAAGCCGATCTAGATCTTCGGCCCGGGCCAGTACGCCTCTTGAGGTCGCTAGCTCTGAGACTTCGGCTCGGCCAAAGCAAACACCGCCGGACATCCGAGCTAAGTTCAAGGAGTTCAATCCAAGCGTAGTTGCTACAGCGGTGCAGGGTTTTCTAACTCTGTGCAAGACTGATCCAAGTAAGGCCAAGGTTCCCGGGCTGTGTAGGCTGGGTGGTGCAAGAGGCTCCTCCCTCGAAGTCTTCAGCGACCTTGTTCAAAGTCAAAGGTTACACCGCGATGGTTTTGGACCTAGCTGTCAGGTATGAGAAGTTGGGATCCTGTCCCGTATTGCAGAACGTGCAATGCATCTCGATGAACGTCTGCCACAGTCCGTTAATCGACTTCAACAATGACCTGGCCGAAGCTGCAGCTTTGTAGAGTGCATGTGGTAACTCTGAAATCTAGATGAAGGAGTTCTGACTTTCCTGGATCATGCCAAGCTCTGAAAAGTCTTAGTACATTCAGGTCTGGCAGGAACCCTACCCGCACCAACCCTGCCTTACAGTCCCGAGAATAGTTCAATCTGTCCAAGGAATCTGCAAAAATCGGTTTCGTCCATCTTGTACCTGTTCATTGCGGCACTTGCTCCTGCGATCACGTCGCTAGCCTCAGCATGTGAGGCTTCGGTGAGGTTTCGCAGTGGTGGTTGCTTTGTGGGGAGCGGCATCGGCGTTGGGCTTTGAGCGGATGTTCGCAGGGCCTTTGGAGTTTAGCCTACGCCGAAAGCCACATAGAACGCCGAAGCCCACCCCCCAGTCATGTCCCCCCGATCCTGGAGCCCGACACAGACACACCTTTCATGAATCCCAGGTTCGGAAGTCGCTTCCTCGATGGCACCAACGGCCAATTCGGAGTGCCCTGGAACGGTTGATGATGACTTCCGCTATCCTTATTAGAGGTGCAACAAAGAGTCCCGCCAGCCCATAAATCTTCAAGAGTTGTGCCATCGCTGTACACCCACAGCCCAGTCTTGTGCCGGGTTGTTCCCCAAACAGGTACGGTTTGGGGTTCTCTCCTCAGAAAAAAGGTGGGCCGCGGTGGGTTGGATGGCTGGGCCGCGGCAAACTGGCTGGGCTCCCATTGGGCTCCCTTCATGTTTCCTTTCTGGGCTCCTGGGTTGGACGGGTGGGACGCGGCGAAGGACCTGGGCTTTATTGGGCTCCCTTCATGTTTCCTTTCTGGGCTCCTGGGTTGGACGGGTGGGCCGCGGCGAAGGACCTGGGCTTTATTGGGCTCCCTTCATGTTTCCTTTCTAGGCTCCTGGGTTGGACGGGTGGGCCGCGGCAAAGGACCTGGGCTTTATTGGGCTCCCTTCATGTTTCCTTTCTAGGCTCCTGGGTTGGACGGGTGGGCCGCGGCAAAGGACCTGGGCTTTATTGGGCTCCCTTCATGTTTCCTTTCTCTGGGCTCCTGGGTTGGACGGGTGCGCCGCGGCGAAGGACCTGGGCTCCCATTCACTTCCCTTCATGTTTCTTTTCTGGGCTCCTGGGTTGGACGGGTGGGCCGCGGCGAAGGACCTGGGCTCCCATTCGCTTCCCTTCATGTTTCCTTTCTGGGCTCCCTGGGTTGGATGGGTGGGCCGCGGCGAAGGACCTGGGCTTCCATTCAGTTCCCTTCAATGCTTTTTTGGGCTGGGTTGGACGGGTGGGCCGCGGCAAAGAACCTGGTCCTTCCTGGGCTCCTGGTTTGGAGGGGTGGGCTGCGGCAAAGGACCTGGGCTCCCATTGGGCTCCCTTCATGTTTCCTTTCTGGGCTGCTGGGTTGGACCTGGACTCCCGTTGGGCTCCTTTCATGTTTCCTTGGGCCGCGGCAATCCCGTTTACCTCCCTTCAAGTTTCCGTTCTGGGCTCCTGGATTGGATGGGTGGGCCACGGCAAAGGGATTGGGCTGCCAATTGGGTTTTCTTCCTGTTTCCTTTCTGGGCTCCTGGGTTGGACGGGCGGGCCGCAGCAGAGGGCCTGAGCTCCCGCTGGGTTCCCTTAGTGTTTCCTTTCTGGGTGCCTGGTCTGCCACAAACGTCTACAGCAGAGGCCAGGTATCCGGTATCCTGTCTTGCAAGGCAGCAATGCTGTAACAGTTGTGTGTTTTTCCGTGCGTGGTTTCTG